CTGGTGTGGGACATGTAATCTCTGCTCTCAGACCTTGACCTTGCTGTCTAATCTCTGCTATTTGGGACTACGGGCTTTTGTACAACTAAAACCAGGCCACCAGTCTGTGGGAAAAATGGTAACATCTGCTGTGAAGGTCAGAAGATATTTCCATTTGACTAACAGAATGCAGCAGCACAAAGCCTCACAAATAGGCATCCTGCCTGTCCCAAATGGCACAGAGGAAGCAGCTATTGTCTCTCAATTGTAAGTGCCATCTGATCCCTGGGGAAGACTTCAAGTGATGATATTTCCCTGCTGAGAGTCCTGCCTTTTCTTTCTGTACTTCATTACTAATACTTGAGGGTCCTCTTGTTCATTAAGAAGTGCATGCACTTCTTAATTTCTCACAGACTGTATTATGAAAAAGGACGTCATCCCTACAGAGCTAAGTAGAGTACTCTGCAGTTAATTACGTGGTGTCTCCCCGTCTGTAAGGTTTACACCACAACTTATTGCCCTAAAAAAGGAAAGGAAAGAACAGAAGAGAGAATAAAAGCAGGATAAAATCACGACTATCTGAGAAGCTGAGCTGTGTGTGGAGCCTGGCTGGGGCTGGTGGATCCTTTGGCAGGCAGCTCCCGTCTGTGCTGGGGTGTGCGTGGCCAAGGGATGTCTCACTCCTGTGGGGGTGGACTTGTGATATGAAACACTTGTGTTCCCGAGTATGAATAACTTCATACACAAGTGAAATCTGGCGCTTGTTTGATGGCACAGCAGTGCTGTGTTGCTGCAGTTGGAGTACCCCTCATGGAGCTCCCCTCAGCCACCCGGATTTGAAATGGCAGCAGTGTAGGAGAAAGGGCCGAGAAGCAGTTTTTGTGCTGGGCTCTGGGTTCTCTAGGCCTGGTGCTCACTGCCGTGCATTCCACTTGCTGCTCTAGCAGCAGCCCCCTCCTGTGCTTGCAGCTGGCTGGTGCTGCGGGGCTCTGAGGGACCAGGGGCAGCCCTGTCCGTTTTGTGTCTTTTAAACTGGGTGTTCTGCTTTGTGGTGAGAGAAATGCGCTGAACCTGGAGTTAATTAGTAATTAGTTTGTAATTTATCAGGACTGAACGAAACTGAGAGTATTACTATTTAGTGAAGCTGAGGCATTTGGATTTTTACATCATTTTTTCTCTTTGGCTTAATTCAAAGTATTGCAATGAACAATTTGCATATAATGAAAGAGGAATAGATGAAGGACAGGAAACTGAGTGAACTGAAAAGCTGTGTAATTCCATTTTGCAGTGAAGTACACGCTGTTGGTCCAGTAAGAGAGATGTTGTTGCTGTCTGCTCTCGTGTTGTACTTTAGCTGTAGTTGAAAAGACTCTTTGAATACCAGAGTTGTAATTAGTGTTAGCAGGAGGGATGGAATAGTGGAGCCGTGGGGCTGAAGCGGCCTTGTGCTGCTCCGCTGCTCTCAGAGCTACCTGTTGGCTGCAGGTTCCTCACGCAGGCAGGTGGCCGACAAGCACCGCCTCTGTGAGCTGCTCAGGGCGGCACCCAAAGCTGCGGGGTTCGTACTGACAGTGGCTGCGCATTCAGCTCACGCCACCGCGAGGAGCTCCCGACAATCCTGGCTGGCAGAGCGCGGTGGCATTGCTGTATGTCGGGAGCCCCCTGCTGCACAGCGCACCCACACTGCGGCCTCTGCCAGAGCAGGGCTCCCTTCCGGCGCGTTTTAGACCTGGATTTTGTGCGGGTAGCTGCACCTGCCTCAGCAGCACTTCAGGGCAAGCTCCGTGCTGCTGCACAGCTCCCTTTTGCCTACTGTGCATGGTGACTGCAACACTTCCGAGCAAATGCATTAGAAACTGTTCTGGCTGGGGTATTCTTGAGATCAGAGAAGCCTTCTAGTAGTGTTCTGGTGTGACTTGCTCATGGAGTTGTCTGTTGTTGTGCAACTGTGGTATTTTGTTCAAAACCCTATACATCGTTTGCTCTGCTTCTGTGCACTGCTGTGGGAGGTGTGCGCGCCAGCGATGAGCACACTCAGCTCAGAAAGAACTTTCTGGAGCTTCTGTGTTCCCACCCTGGTGTCTTCGATGTAAAAACCCACATCTGCAGTGCTCAGCGAGCTGTCAGAGCCCGGCTTTGCAGGACTGGAACACTTCTTTGACAGCTGCAACATAGCACTTCAGTTTCCACGGAAACTGGGCACTGGCTCTCTGAAATCAAGGTGAAGTGTTGGCTGATCATTGAATAATAATGCTGAACGTTTAAATATGAATTTCTTCACCTTACTCTTTCAAAGGCAATAATTGCCATTCCTACAGCATCCAGCAGATACTAAAGAAGTCTCATGAATTCCAAGTGTCACAGCTTGGGCTGCATAATCCCCTTCCAGAGAGAGGGATGGATTTCAGCTCTGGGACACAGCCTTATGTGCTGCTGCTGAGTTGAAGGGCTGCTATGTGCCCCTGTCTGCTGCACCACTGTTCCTACGTTCTTTTGTTGTCACCATACATATTCATACCATACCTTTCCAGAACATTCTTGTCATCAGATGCATTTCCTGGAAACTAATTCTCAATTGCATGAACTTTTTATCTGCTCCCACCCTCACACATCACTCCGGTGTAATTGCTCTGGCTTTGCGCTCACCGGACTCTTGTTTTGTGTCAGTGAGTTTCATGGTTTTGCTGAACATTCCTTTTTCCAGGTCACTGATTTCTGAGGTTAACAAAACGAACCCTCCGCCGCTCCCTGCTACGTTCCACTGATCTCCTCGCTGTATCCGGAGCTGCTCAATTACCTCTTGTCTTCAATTGCAGAGGCTTTTATTGAACCCACAGATCAGTGTTCTGTGCAGGAAACAGTTTCATATTAGATTCAGGAACATGTTCCTGAGAATGTTTCTTACGCTTATACCTCAATTTGTTCAGGTTGTTTAAATTTTCTTGCTTAATTTGCTTCTTGACATGTCCTTTCAAGTGTACTTTCTCCACTTTTTTATTTTTTATTTTTTTTTGTAAGAGTTGTCCATCTTTCTGTCTTCCCTTCTTTTCCTCCTGCTCTTGAATAACGTCTTCTACTGTGTGACAGCCTTGACTTGGCGTGTTGTGGCCCTCCATCTTTCCCACCCTCCTGAATCCCTTCACTCCTTTGCCACCTTTTGGTCATTCTAGGAACAGAAGAAGAACCAACGTTCTTCTGAAGGGCATCTGCTCTGTTTTGCTCAGTAGGGACCTGGGGATTTCCCTAGGCCCATCTTTTATCTGTCACATCACTAAGTCCATATCCCTCACTTTTTTGTCTGTGGGTGATATCCACCTTAGCCAGGCTTGGTGCCAGGGGTGATAGCTCAGATGTGTTGGGGAGAGCACAGAGACCCCAATCAAGGAAATGACGTGTGTGACCTAACACCACGTGAGGCCTTCGGAATAAAATAGGTATTAATGGAAATTAGGGCAGAACACGTATCTTGATGTTTGGGTATCCTCATCCTCCATCCAAAATTACCTCTATTTCAGGTATCTACAACTGACACTCATTGCTGTCTTGTAGCTACTGACTTTTCTAGGAGTGTAGCATGGAAGAGAAAGACTTTACACACTCATTAGCATGTCAAGGTGTTGTTTTCAGGTGTATTATCCCAGGAATGGTCACACTTCTGCCACAGACTTCTTAAACAAGGCCAGACTGAACTTCTGGTTGCAGAGAGACACTGTGCAGTCTGTGCAGGGCTGCTGTCACTCTGAGTTGTGTTTTCACATTGGTTTGCATTTCCAGTGTCCAAGGACTGTGTAGGCAGCTATAGAACTCTCTGACATCCCAGAACAGTTGTGAACCTTTGGCAGGGGCTCGGGTTGCTGCTATCTCAGGAGTAGGCAATAAAAGCAAGGCTCCTGAGAACAATAGCTTCTTTGCTGGTCTAAGGAGAGGCACATTTTAAACAGTGACTGAATATGACTAAAAATAAGAACTTGACACTGGGGCACGAGAAGGAAGACAAAGGACACTGCTCCTAACCAGCAGGCTCACTTACTTACAAACATAGCTTCTCTTCATAAAACCAAAACCAAAGCTGAAATCTGTTCGGCCCTGGAGGACTTCTAGACAAAAACTTGGATTTAGTGGATCAGTTGTTACTTTAGATGATCCTAATCCACTTTGCATGTATCACTTAGCGAAGCCCCTTTGAGGTTATGCAATTCCATTCGCAGAGGAACTGAGATGCTGGGCTTCCCAAAGGAAATGTGGAAGTTGGATGTGTGAAATAAAAACTGTGAAACCTAATGGTAAATCCCTTCAGTCAAATGAGTGCCTCTCATTCAGTGCACTGGATAAATTGTGACAGGTGAAAAACCCCAAGCCCAAGTCAGAGGTGGCAAAAATGTCAGCACTGTGTTTAAGAAAAGAAATGGGCCCCAAAACAGTTCAGTGTAAAAAAAAAAAAAAAAAAAAAATCTCCAGGGTACTCTGAGATACTTCATAGCATGAAGAAAAACCTGGCTGAGCAGGAAGCTGATCATAGAAGACAGTCTGCAATGAACAAGGAGTTTATACAGCTTGAACACTGACTGTGAATCGAGCGTGTTTTGCTGAGCACTTTGAGCTGCAAGTTACTGCTTTTTTTGACACGGGAGCTTTGGTGACCAGCTGGGTGGTAACATAAGAAAGAAAAGAAGAAGGAATATTATGAAAAAATGCTACTTATACAGACTGACGTGGTCTCAGACTGCTGGAGGTGCAGAGTCTTTCACAGTGGCTGCTGCCATCCCACCGGGCTCCTGTGAGTAGCACTACCTTTCCAGGAGCAGGTCACCAGCTACTGCAGCCCCACACCACCTCATTAACTTAACAAAGGGGCCTTTTAAGATGGAGGAAAAAAGACAACATAATTAAGTAGTCTGCTTCACTGAAGGACATAGGCTGAAGCCTCACCCAAGCAGGACAAGTTAGTTCCCTTTTAGAACCACCTTTTGGATGACTTGCATTTCCAGTAGTGTTTTTACAGCATAAGAAAGAGAAGTATGTTTGTTTTAAGCATTTTCTTTTTTGAAACATACAGCAGAAGGAACAGAGAAATTACAAGAGGTAGTGAGTTGAGCAAATAAAATAATCTTTCATAAGAATAAAATGCTGCTTTCACAGCTGTAAATGTATACATCCATATGATTTTAAAATACAAAATTACTTCTGTTGTGTTTCAGGCTCCTTCTTTTTTGGATTATATAATGAAACACTCAAGTGCTGGACTTGGTGAAGTGGTTTACCTCATAGCATTGGCAAAAAGAAACCATTCATGCAGCACTGGGCTTGCAACTCATCACACGTGAGAAAGTTAAACTTGGAGTCAGTGTAACTAAAGTGCACTTGTGTTCTTCACACCGTGTACATTTTGACTGGCTTGTAGAAAGAAAGTAGAAATTCATGACTCTCCCCGTCAGCTTCTTGAGATGACTGAAGAAAACATGATCTGCAACATACTTGGCCACAGCCTGACTCTGAATGAGAAGACAGGCTTTTATCGGACAGCGGAGAAAAGTCAAAGTCAGCTACCTGGAAAAGGAACATTAATGAGAATGTTTTTAATTCCAGTCATACCAGTTCAAGGGAAACCAGGCAGAATGCTCTGGGTTGGAAATGGCACCTGGTCCTCAATCAGTTTCTATCAGAAATCTATTCAAAGTTGGTGACAGATTCATACCAGCTGGACACAAGGATTGCAGCAGCCCTCCTAGAGGTCCATTTATGCGCATTGTGGCATGATGTTACCTGTATGAGGTACTTTCCAAAGGGCCAAGAAGCTATCTTTGATTTGGGAGCTCATGCCTTATAAATATGAACATGTAAAAAGCTACACAAGGGAGATGGAAGGGCACCAGCAGAGATGAGGGTGACAATTTAGTGTCACTTCAGTTAACATAACCATCCTTTTTTACTGTTCCCTATCCCTTCTCATCATCCCTCTGCTTTCTTCCGTGTAACCACTCCAGATACATCCTCTGGAAGGTGTACTTCAATTCAAGCACATGCTTAGGAACTTTAACTAACTAGACATGATAGCCCTGGGAACTTGAATTGCAGTTTTGTTTCTCCAGAAGCCTGCTGGATGTTTTTCTCCATGCCTGTTGCTTAAACTCTGCCAGCTCAGACAGGTACCAGAGAAATGCTCCCTCGCACTCTGTTTGCCTGAGGATGAAAGAAGAGACATAGCTGAAAGCTATCTAATTACTATCCCAGCTCAAAGTAATACCTCCACAAGGTCTTTCTGTTGTGTGTTACTTCGAAAGGTCGTGTACAGCACCAGTCCTACCACCACTGAAACCAGGGTGAGGCACAGCAGGACAAAGAAGGCTGGCTGGATTCCTGGGAAAGAGCACAAGGGGACATTCCTGGAGTGATATAATACACTGAGAAGAGGCAACAGAAGAAAAAGTTGTCTTAGGAAAACTCTTCACATTTTTACAACAAAGGATGTGCGTGCATCAGGGAACAGATTTTTCAGCCTAGATTACTTCAGATCTTTCTACAATCAGAAAAGTAGGAATATGGGATTGCAAGGGTCAGCTTAAGCAGGCTAAAAAAGCTGTTTAAGTTTTAGCCTTAACTCCCAAGAGTGTCTGTACCTCTGTCATGCCCTGAATGGGTAGGGAGGAATCTTGATAAGCATCATCTTTGCAACAGCTGGTAGCCCTCAGCAAAGAGGATTCTACCTCTATGCCCTGAGTGTACACTACTGCCTCCTGCAGTGAGCAATCCTAGATGTATAGAGGTGCTGTCCCAGTGGGATGTTCTGTAACTGTTCTGTTATCACAATCCAGCTGTCTCCTGGCCAGGTCCTCTTTCTCAGATGAATCAGAGCCCCACGAAGGGCAGGAAACAGGGTGGCCTGCAGGGATTGCTGGCTGAGGGAATAGAAACATGTAATGAAATGGAGATTAGAGAAGGCTACCCTTAAAAAAAATACTAAAAAGAATTCAGGCTGCTTAATTAAGGGAGTGCTACAGCCACTTATGTTTTTGCACTTATCCTCTCTAACTATAAGAGAGAGAGACTATTTAAACTGAAAAATATGTAATTTAAATCTTCCCAGGGAACACTTTAGCTTCAAGACACTCTGGAGATTAAGGGTTCAGCAGGATACAAAAAGCTCAGAGCAATTACAGTAGGCACAATATATGCTTTCCCTTCTCTCCATGCTTCCTGAAACCTCATCAGCTGCAAGTTAATGCCTGAGACAGACAGAACCCTGGACAATGGGGAATGTGTGGCTGCAGCTCACCTGCTGGCCGCACTTTTATTTCATGGTAGGTCTGCAGCATCGTCACGCCGCTCTGCACCCGGACGCTGAGGCAGTACTGCCCGGCGTCGCTGAAGGTATGGCTGAGGTTGTAGCAGGAGCCGGCGATCACCACCAGATGGCACTTCTCGCCTTCTAATGGAATGCACTCGGACTTGATAAGCCAGCATAATGCCAGCGGGGGGCTGAAATGACATTTAAGAATGAACAAACCACAACAGCGCATTGAAAGCTCCAAAATTTTCAGCTAACAGCTGATTAATCACTGGGATAAAACTGTAAAACATCTTAGAAAATAATAAGGTTAATCTAACTACAAATAGAGAAGTAATTAACAGCGCAATTACTTGGTTCATAGTGTTTGTCCACTGAAAAAAAGCCTTTGTGATGCTTTTATAACAGCAGTCCTTTCAGCTGAAAGCTAAATACCTGGGTGGGTCATAGGCAGGCCATTGTGCATAGCAAACCCATGTCCTGCTCTAACAGAGATAAAAGCAATCTTTTTTTTCCCCCTCTTCTAGGGGAACATAGGTTGGTTTTCTTTCTTCTTTTCACAGTGGAGATCACTGTGCTACTGAAGAACACCTGAGACTTCTGATTTAACAAAAAAAAAAAGAGGAAATAAAAGAATGTGAATTGACCTCTGCACAATGGACTAACAGTTAGGATAGTTAAATAACTTGCAAGGATCTTGGTATTACAAAAACAAAAAGATTTCAGTTGTTGTCAGGCTCTCTAGCTACAATCCACATTATGTCTGCCTGCATTCTCACTGTATCCAGCTGATGCCATTTATTTACACTGTCAGGTCCTTGCTCCAACTGATTCTGCTTGGACTCCCCCTACACACTATGGACTTTGATTCTGATGACAGAGCTTTTCTTTACACTGTCTTACTAGTATTTTGTTCCTTATCTGCTCAGGGTAGTCTCTGGTAAGAAAGCAGCATGTTTATGTGTTTGATGACACATCTCTCAAGCCTTTGTTCTTGGTTTTGTCACAGACTGCTGTCACAGCAGTCCCAGCCCTGCTGCTAGAGGATAGGTCTGGCAAGAACTGATGGCCATCTTGGAGTCAAGCCTGGTAGCCTGTAATATTTTTTTTAACTATTCATATTTACTTGCATATTTGCAATTTCCAGTCTCTCAAAGTGCAGCCCCCTTGCTGAGTGCAAACTGTGCTGTGTAGCTGTACCACTTCTGTCTTTGGTACACGACTGCATTGGGTGCTGCTCCCTCTGTCCTGCAGCCCTGCTCTTTTCTGGTTTGTTTTTGGAAACCCACCGTTAGGCAAATCCGCTCCCTGTAGCAGAGCACAGGTGAGTTACTCTTCTGGAGAATAAATTTCTTTGTGATCATGGAGATTTTTATGGTGAAGGCACCTTCCTGAGTGCTTCAAATGTTACTTAAAATGCTTCTGCTATATAAGAAACCCTCACACGTTCTAAATACTGCAGCTTTAGAGAGCTTGTGCTCAGAGCAAGGTGCTCCTGAGTCTCCTACATTCCTACAATGGTAGGTGATTAGTTACCCGACTTAGACTTTTCCCAGCTCATTACATTGCAATGTGACATTTCCATTTTCCTCTCCTTCCTTGCCTCATTTCTCTTCAACAACTTCATCTTTCTCTGGACTTTTCCTTCCAAAGATGACTTTAAAAACAAAACACCCTGCTCTCACTGTGCGGTGCCCCTTTCTCTTATTCATCTTCTGTCAGCCTTTACTTTGTCAAACTGATTTCTGAAACTCACCACTCCCATGTGCCAGTCAAGGGCTGCTGCCATTCAACAGGACTCTGACTGCAGTTTGATTTAATTATGAGGAAATTAATTGGTCAGGGATAAAAATTCAAAAGAGAGTTTAAAAATGTCGTTGTTTCCACTATCTTCCTCTGGCAAGTTCTCTTTCAACATTCTATTTACAAAGGGATAAAGATAACCTTTGCTTTCTATATGAGGATTTGATGAGGAGATGAACATTTTAACATCCTTCTTTTCTGCACAGATGTGGGCTCTGTCAGACTCTTAGAGTTCATGGTATTTTAAGTCAAGAAAAAACAAGTATTCAACTGTGTTCTCTTCAAAGAAGACTTTAACAAACAGTTCTGTGGGGTGCAAGTGACTTTTAAGGAAACAGAGGAGGAAAAAAAGCTTAGATAAAGTGTTTTGTGCAAAGCAGTAGTGTTTGCTACTTACGTGCCATTGATGTGAAGAGATAAACTCAAGTTCTCCATGACGTGAGTCTCTCTGGAGCCCACTACGTGAATGCTTTTAACAGCATCTGAGAGGAAGAAAGCAAGCACATCACATGGAACACAACCTGAAATTCATTGGTTTTCCAGTAAATGTTTCTCTTAGACCATGCAGATGATGGCTGCATCACTCACACAAACAACAGCTTCCTCACACCCCGAAGAAAGAAACCTACTGGTAGAGTTGTTAAAAGTTTTCAGGACGCTTTGTGATTTCTTTTTAGAATGTAATCAGGTACATAATAATGCATGGGATTATTGAAGTGTGTTTGTTTACAACTGACCAAATCAATGAAACTTTCACAACACTTGTTCTAACAGATATATTTTTTAGGGATATTCATCATAAATTAAAGCGGATCCTCCATAAGTATGATAAACAAATTATTTGAAGTTTTGAGTCTGTTTGAGGCTGTTACAAAAGACAGTGAAACTTCGAAGGAATGAAAAAGAAACAGAAGATTTTAGACTTTTTGTGAACCAGAATGGTGCAAAGTCCATTTTAGAATGCAAACTCTTCATTGAAAAATACTGACCAGTTCATCCACTTGAATCAGCACCTATGTTGTGTTACCACCTTAAAAACCTACCATCTAGATTGCATCACTACCACATATAACATTTTATTTTGAGCGTGCAAAATGTTTTATAATTACCTAGCAGCTCCAAAGCAGTGGTAAAATCACCAGTTTTCTGCACAGTTTCTGTTTCATGTATGATGCTTCCAATTTGCTCCCATTCTGCTACGACTTTGAGATGCACTGTGCGATTCCCCGTGGTGGAGTAGTTGCAGTAGACAAAGGGCTCCTTGGTAATCTGATAAACTCTGTGTGCAATATGAAAATCAAAACTGAATTTTATCAAGTACTTGCTTATTTCTGATTTAACATTGAAAAAGGAGTATTTTCTTTAAAGCCAGTGGTAGTCAGCTATGATTCTAATTCTCCTTCATGTCCTCATCAGTAAGGATTAATGTCTGTTGCAGTTAGCAGGTGTAAAACCAGTAAAACTATAGTCAGTATCAGACTCACAGTGTATTTATAGAATCAAGGATAGTGCTATGGGACTTTAGAAAATGGAATAGGAATAAACAGTAAAAGATGAAAACTACCATTAAAACAGGTGGACTGCAGCTAATTGAAGTATTGAAAAGGAAAAATAAAAGATTTTTTTTTTAAAAAAAGGAAGATAGAAAGAAAGATGCAGCATTCAAAAACTGGATCTTATTTTTCTATTTGTGTACTCTTGTTTGTGCTGGACATAAATTTGTACTCAAGAGAAGGCAAATAGCTGGACATCTTTCATCCTCCCTGCTGCAGGGTCATACCAATGGGCAAAGGCGTGTGTGCCATCCCGTGTATGAACAGGATTTCTCTCTAGATGAACAGCTGAATGAGAGGCACCTTAAGTAATCATTGAAGAGAACACAGTAACCACACCTACCCATCTCCAAAGTCCCAGTTGTAGACAAATGAAGCTGACTTGAAGTAATCACTTGGATCATGAAGACAGAAAGAAATCCGTGTCACAGCACCCATAGAAGAGCTGGAACCATGCTTGATAAATCTGCTGTCTTCTATCTGGGCAATGGTAAGATTCCCCGTGACAAATTCTGCAGAAAATTAAGGTAGACAAAGAATGACAGCATGAATCACTTTCATAGGATGCTGTGTGTACCAACACATGACTTAAAATACACAGCATAAGTCTTTCTGTGCCCCAGTCCAAACAGTTAAGTGTATTTTTGATCTATTACTCAATGTTGCTACACGCGATGAGATTACTTGGCTTACGGAAGGTTATACAGTGGGACAAGATGAAGCTTCTAATAGGACTGAGAGGAAAAAATCCTGGACTGACTGAGATAGGCAGCCTGCAGCACGGCCCAGTTGCTACAGTGCTGGCCAAAACCTCCTGCAACGAAGGCCTACACAAATCAAACTCTGCTGCTGGAGGCCATATTTCCGCCTGGCTTTCCTTTTCTGATGCTAGCGAGGGCAGCAGCAATTCTGCTTTACCTGTGATCTGAAGCATGGTGACGTTCCTAGCAACTGGCCGACATAACCAGCAGTTTCTGTGAGTCACCCAGACAGATACGGGAAAAGCCCCAGGAAATTCACCAGTCACGTTAATTACGGAGTGCAACCGCTGCTCGGATTTCTCTATCAGGATCAGAGGAGCATAAATCCAGTTAAAGTGATACAAGTTTGATACAGTGCTGTCGTTCTTCGTCCTCAGAATGGCGTGAAGAGTAGCTTGAGCTCCTGTTGTGATGGGACCATTGTTGGTGATTTCCAGACCATACTGCTCTGTGGATTTCAGAAGCAGGACAAAAAAGAGAAATGTAACTCAGTGCACCTTACCTAGTTAGCTGTGGTTATGTGACTCACAGCACTAAGTTCAAACTACCACCTTTTTGCCATTTAAAAATCTGGAACAGGAACTGTTCTGTGCATATATGCATTCCAACATGACACATCCATTAGAAGGGGTCCTAGAAGTGTCAACAGTAGGAGGGAGTCTCTGAGGAGTTTTTAGAGGTACAGTTAGGCTATAGCTATAGGCCCAGTGTCACTAATGGTCTAACAATGCTGTCATTGAGCTTCCAGCTACTGGAAGAAGGCCACGTTCAGCTCTAATTTTGGTTGTTCCAATTAATTTATAATTAAGCACAACTCACCCTGACTCAAGAAGCTGAAATTCAAGTGAAGGAGAAAGCAAAACTTTTCAATAATATCCCCTCCACATCTTTTTGATTTCTGCAGTGCTAGTGAGGAGCAGAGTGAAGAAGCCAAAGGTGAAGATTCAGAACAATCCTTTGCAGCTACAGAAAACAGAAGTTATCAGGCTGGCCTCAAGAAATCTCTCACTGGACAAACCATTATCCTAAAAAGAATATGGACTTCTTAAGTCAGGTAAGATTTCATCCAATTGCTTCCCCTGTCAGCTCTACTGAACAGCTCAACCTCCTCCTAACTGAATGTAAAACATCAGTACAGCTGTTTCTTCTTTATAATCTATAAGGAGACTCCACAGCCTCTCTGGGCAGCCTGTTCCAGTGCTCTGTCACCCTCAAAGCAAAGAAATTTTTCCTCGTGTTTGTGTGGAACTTCCTATGCCCAGTTAGTGCCCATTGCCCCTTGTTCTGCCACCGGACAGGATTGAAAAGAGCCTGGAAATGAATGTAAAAGAAGTTTACTGAGCAGATGGTGAGGCTGTGGCACAGGCTGCCCATCCTTGGAGGTTCCTGAGGCTGTGGAGGGGCCCTGGGCAGCCTGAGCTGCTGGGGAGCAGCCAGCCCATGGCCAGGGGTTGGGACTGGATAGGCTGTAAGACACATTCCAACCTAAGCTATTTTATGGTGAAATGATCTGCTAAATCAAAACAAAACACGACAGCCACTGCAAGCTCTGAAGTGGGACAGAGCTGTGAAGGGGACCTGGTGTTTTGCCACCCTGAGCAGTTCTCCTCCCAGCTGTTCTCTCATGGGAGAGCATGGGGGCAATGCTAGGCAGAGCACTGTGCAGCTGTGGGGCTCCCTCAGTCTTCCAGCAGCTAACAGATTGCTCATGGGGACAGGAGGGAGCAGTGGGCCAGCTAACCCCTGCACTGCCTTTCCTGCAGCCCTCTGGCTGGGGTGGGAGAGGAGCACAAAGCATCCGTGTAGTGCCCTCACGTTATTCCAGGGATTGCAGGTTCTGAGCAAATCTGGATGCAAAAGAGTGGTGAAAAACAATGTTCACAGTACTGACCAAACTAGAACTCGTCAGTTGCCCTCATACAGGGCAAGGAACAGCTCTGAGTTTGTTCAGCTTCTGGGGTTCCCGGAGGAAAATGTGATTTAATGAAACCGAGTGCTGCGAGGTTCCAGCTCTCTAGAAGGTTCAGGACGTCCTCCGCTTCTTCTCAGCGAAACTTGCGGAAAAAAACAGCCGCCTCGCGGTTATCTCCTTGAGGCTATCGCCGGGCTCTGCCCAGCCAGGGTCGACCCGCCGCCGCCGATCAGTGCCTCCCCCACGGGCACGGAGCTCAGCAGCGCTCCGCGGTCCCTTCCACCTTTCCAACCCGAGACCAAAGCGGGAGCCGTATGCTGCCCGAGCGCCGCGGGAAGCAGAAGCGCTTCCCGGCTTCGGGCAACCATCAGCCCCCGGCCGGCCCAGCTCCCCGAGGTGACGCAGCCCGTCCCCGCCCCGCCGTCCCCGCAGCCCCACGCCCGAGCGCCTCTCCATCTCCCGGGGCCGCAGGCCCTTCTCTCCGTTACCCGGCGCCGCGGCGGCACGGCAGAGCAGCAGCAGCACGGCGGGCAGCAGCACGCAGCTCAGCCGCAGCATGACGGGCGCTCAGCGCAGGGCGCTGCCCTCGAGGCCGCCCGCGGTACTGCGGCGCTCCGTCCGTCCGCCCCCGGGGCCGCTCCCCCTCGGCGGCGCCCAACCACCCCCAGGGGGAAGGGCCCGCGGGGCCGCGCCGTCAAAAGTCTAAACGCGGACGGCCCGCCGCCGCCCAGATCCAGCGGTTGGCAGCCCTGCCCACCGCGGCTCCGTGACCCGCGGGGCACCGTCTGACCGAAGCCCCTCCGAGTTCCTTGCGGCGCTGCCCGGCTCCGCGGGCGGGGGCGCGCCGTGCTGTGAGGGGGCGGTGCGCGAGCAGCCCCGAGCGCCCAAAAGATCCCGCGGGGCGGTCCGGCCGTGCCCCGTGCCCTCGGCTGCGCGTCCCGCCGCCCGCGGCCGCAGCGCTTGGGGCGTACGCTCCTCGGAGAGACCCGGCGGGGCCGCGCAGCCCGGGGCAGCGCCGCTCCCCGCGCGCCGTGGCGGCGCTGCCATCGATGGCTGCGCTGCGCTCCGCCCGGGGGTGCGCGCGAGGCGGGCGGCGGGAGGAGGCGGCCGGAACTGAGCTCGGGAGCTTCCGTTGCGCCCATGCGCCGCCGCCGGGCTCCGGCAGCAACAAAGGAGGAGTCGGGGGGCCGCGGGGTGAGCAGCGTGGGGGTGGCGGGCCGGGGCGAAACGGCGGGGCGGCGGGGCACGGAGCAGAGGAGGAGGAAGGGCCGCCGTCCGGCAGATTCGCGCTCGGAGGCCTTGGGCCGCAGGGAGCGCCGGCACGGCCGTTCGTTCCGTGTCCGTGTCGGCGGGGATGGGGGCGGCGTGATGGCGGCGGCGGGGAGCGCCGGGCGGTGCAGGTAAGCGGCCGCGAGCGGCGGCGAGGCCGGAGCCGGAGGCTGAGGATGTCCGAACGCGGGTTGCTGTGCAGGCGGGAAGGGCCGCGAGCGGCAGCTCGGCTGCTGGCAGCTCCGGCTGCGGGTCGCTGGTGGGATTCGGGTCGGAGGGCAGAGCAGAAGGAAGGCGCTGATGCTGACATGGATCTTGGGAGCCCAGAATGGTTCCGTTGGAAGGAAGCTCTGGGGTCGCCCCGCTCCGTCTCTTTGCTGTGGGCAGGGCTACCAGCTCCCAAACCGGGCGGCAGCTCCGGCTGCCCATCCGTGCCCTTGGCACCTCCAGGGATGGTGCAGCACAGCTCTGCGCAGCGCTGCCGGCACGTCACCGATCTCTTGGAGAAAAATTTCCCCTACATCTAACCTAAATCTCCCTTCTTTCAGTTTAAAACCAATCCCCCTTACCCTGTCACTGTCTACTCGTGTAAAAAGTCAGTTTCCTTCTGGTTTATACGCTCCATTTAAGTATTGTAAGGCTGCTCTTGAGTCTTCCCGCAGCCTTCTCTTCTCCAGGCTGCACACCCCCGATTTCCTCAGCCTGTCCCCGTCCAACCTCTGAGCATCTCTGTGCCCATGCCAACAGCTCCGCATCCCTCCTGAGCTGTGGCCCCAGGCCTGGGTGCAGTGCTCCAGGTGAGGCCTCAGAGCAGATGCAGAGAGGGCAGATGGGAAGAGCTGGGTCGCCTTGCTGTTTGGAGGTTTGTGCCTGTGCTCCTGGGTGCTGCACACACCAGGCATTGTTCACGTAGGCCTGCAGAGATGTGCCCTGTGACTCTGGGAGTGAGATATGTCCTCTTCAGTGTGTTAGACGAATGGGTTTGGGTAAGATGATGACTGCAATTGAGCAGGTATGTAAACTAACACACACACATATATTTTGTAGGCGTGTTGATCTTGATTCTATGTAGTGAAAGCTGATCTCCCTCCTCCAAGATGGCATTTGTTTCAGCACAAGGGCCCACAGTGGTGGACCAAACCACTCTGATGAAAAAGTACCTTCAATTTGTGGCTGCTCTTACAGATGTCAATACACGTAAGATACAATTTTTTCTGTATTGTAAGTTAAATCATAAAATCATTTTTGAGCTGGAGGGGACCCTCAAACTCATCCAGTGTAAGTCCCCCGCGCTGAGCAGGGACACTGACAGCTCCATCAGTGCTCTGATCCATCCCCTGAGCTTGGATGTCTGCAGGGACAGGGCATGACCAACATTCTCTGCACCCTGTGCCACTGCCTCACTATCCTTATTGTAAAAAACATTTTCCTTACATTCAATCTAGATTTCCCATCTTCTAGTTTGAAACTGTTTCTCCTTTTTGTCTTATCGGACTGCTAATAGAATCATAGAATTGTGTTCACTTGTGGTTTGTTTCACAAATGTCTGAATATTGTTCAAAAAGTTGACAAATGCATGCTAAATTCAGTTTAAAGTTTGTTAAAATACTGATTTTTGAAGAAGCAAAGTGATGAATAATATTTCCTTGAGCCAAAGAGAGAGTGAGTCGTGTGTGTGGTTGTATGACAGGGATGTTTGTGAGAGTTGTGTGCCTTGTAATTTGGCGGTGACAGCTAAACTGATAAGATCTGATTGCTTCTTTCATCAGTGAGCCTGGTACTTGCTTTCATGATTTAGCTTTGTATTTATTTACTTTTTTGTTTGAATTTCCTTTTTCAGCCGATGAAACCAAATTGAAAATGATGCAAGAAGTCAGTGAGAATTTTGAGGTAATTAATAAAAAAAGCTGTCCAGGATGGCAGTCCTTACGGTGCTTCGTGTCAGTCAGTGTGACATCTGATATTATGCAGTTAAAAGATTTGTATTATTGTTGTGAGTTGTAAATTCTACTATAAAGCACTTATGTTACTGCTGCATTTAGCAGCTACCCAGATGTTTGAAGAGTTCATCTTTGAACTTGAGAGCTCTTTTGTTCTGTAGTCATTGTTCAGTGAGCATTTAAATAAAGGTGACATCACATGTTTTCTTTTTTCTATTGAGCTCAGTGATCTGAAATCTGTATTTTAAGCATTGTTTTATTTATTTTGAGTTTGTGTTTTGTTCTTGTGATGCAAAAGGCCCTCTGTTACTCCTGAATAATCCCATGGGATGGAAGTGAGGAGCTGTGAGATGCAGTCTGGCATCAGGAGTGGAGATGACTCCAGTGACGTCTCTTGCTCAGTGATAAATCAGGTTTAGATGAGCACCAGAAACAAAGTTGAGAAACAAGTTAAACCAAGCATATGTTAGTCAGATGGTACTGTCACTGAACACCTAGTTAGAATGAGTGTGTTCTGAAATTGTGGAGAACTTGTTCTTTTGTGGAATGAATAAATGCAAGATCTCAGAATAGCTGTAATGCCCTCTTTGTGTTTTTAGCTGTGATGAATAAGAATAAAAGTGCTGTTGCTGTAACAGCTTTTTTCCAAATCTGTATTGTTTGAAGTGATCTTGCTTAGTCTGTGGCATGGACACAAAAATACCCATTCTAGTGCTCTTTGATGTCATCAGATATTCTTAAGTAAGCTTTATGCGAGGTGCTGGAAGTGCAGTGCTGTGCAGATTTCAGTTGTTGATGAGCTTATCAGTGCAATCTCCCGTCCAGCAAACTATTTTGTTTAGGTTAATGCAATGAAATGCAATTAGAGCTGTCACAACTGTATTATTTGCATTAAAACAGTTAAAAGGCTTCATCCTTGCTTAGGGTGTGTAAGGGACAGAGCTGTCTGTGACCTTTCTGCAGTAGTTTGTGCACAGGCTGAGCAGAACTTACTATTACAGTGAGTATCTGAAAATATCCTCCTGGGGTTTTGTGTGTGCTTGTTTCAAAGATGCTAACTGTAGCATGTCAGCAGATGCTTAAATACAACATCTGATGAAAATCACTGAAAATGTTTTCTAGAAGCTTTGAATGTAACTTGATACAATCTGTGGTAGTGTGCAGTGTGTTATGTCTTCATGTTTTCATTTTCTTTTGAATTAGAATGTGACATCATCCCCTCAGTATTCTACATTCCTGGAACACATCATCCCAAGGTTCCTCACCTTCCTGCAGGACGGAGAAGTTCAGTTTCTGCAGGAGAAGCCAGCCCAGGTAAGCTGTGCAGAGCATCTCTGCCTTCTGCAGAGCGTGCAGCAGGCTGCTTGTTCAGTGATGCTCTTGGTTAGCCAACAAACTGACTTCTGTACTACCTTTGTTCTTAAAAATAGATCTGTTGTTTGGAGAGAAACTGAAAAGTCCAGTTTCTGAATACGTTGCTTTTAAACTTTGCCATCATGCTTCTAAGAGCAGTGGGGGGAAGGCTGGATGCTGGACTTGTCTTTCTTGCTGATAAGTTGTTACGCTTTGTAACAAAAGGCAGTGGTTGAGAATCCGTGTCATTAATGGTTTACTGGACTTAAGGAGCGCATTTTCAACAGTGATTGTTACATTTGGCTTATTCAAATAGGAAGCATTTTGTGTTTGTATCTAAGGGCCAGCCTGTGCAAAGTAAAGTGGTGCTCAAGTATGGAAGTTGAAAACATGCATCCATTAACTGTTGTTTTTTTGTGGTCTCCTAAAAAATCCCAGCAGCTCTTGGTTTATTTAATTATTTCTTGATTTAAACAGCAACTCCGGAAATTAGTGCTTGAAATAATCCACAGAATACCAACAAATGAGCACCTTCGTCTTCATACCAAGAATATCCTGTCTGTGATGTTTAGATTTCTAGAGGTATTTATCTTTGCTTATGGGTGTGTGTGTATATTTTGTTTTAAAACTGTTCCAGATATGCAGAAAGTTCTACTTCATCTCCAGAATTGCTGGGGGTGGGTTTTTGAGAGTAATTACATTGGCTGTGCTTCTGGAGCAAGAGTGGAGCAACATTCTGCTTAGCCTTTATCAGTGCAATTACTTACTGTCTGTAGGATTTCTGATTTCTTCAAGTTCTCTTTTTTCTCCCTTTCTTGGCTTTTAATTTTGCAGGGAACTGTTCTTTATCACTTGCCTTAGACAACATTACATTTATGCGCTTTTTTTTGCTTACCTTGTGTAGATGCAAATGCTTTGTTCTGGAGATGTAGATTTGCTTCTTACTCAGCACTGAAAACATTGTTACTCAAAGCCTGCCAAAAATAACATGTTATATTTGGGGATGTCTTGGTGTGCAAATGGCTCCACTTGTGCTTCTGTCTGCGATGTGTAGTCAGGTCTGATGGTGTTCAGCCATTCTGGTTTTTGTTCCAAAAGGGATGAATTTAATTTATTTTCAGCCTTCTCCAGAGGTTACAGGGTAAAGTTAGATCAAATTAAAGGCATCTTGCTCATGCAAATCTACAGTAATGGAATGAGATAACTGTGCTTTTATGGGGTTTTGAAGTTGAAGAATGCAATGGTAGACTCACTGAAGTTCTGCTTTTTATCAGACGGAGAATGAAGAAAATGTACTGATCTGCTTAAGAATAA